AATGCCTGCTTGGGTCTCTTCCTTGAGGTAAAGATCCAGTCAAATTAAAGGACCAGGATGCATCCAAAGCCAGAACCAGAACTGGTCTAATTGGTCAGCCAAGAGAGATTAATGATCATTTCTGTTTTCCCAGCAGTGAGTGTCTGTGATTTGTAGGACCATCACTTAAGAGCATTCAGACAACTGCCAATAATTGCAAAACAGAAGTTTTACTATCACAGTGAGTTATGTCCTTCCTTTCTACTCAGAGCCACAGGTCACACCYAGATGGTCATGGGACCCCAACCCACAGGAGCAGCTGATGGCAAGAACTTGCAGCTTGCAGTCACTACTTTCAGTGCACCTGGCAGGTGGATAAAAACACCATTCTGCAACAGTACAAAACCTTGATCCTGCCCGGAGCCTGCTGCASCCAGGCTTACAGCAGCCCAGCATGGTTATTCCCAGCACTCCCCAGGTCCAGGGAATGCTGTCCTTCCTCCTCATCCTGCTGATGAGCAGATAGACCAGCTCAGTGCCTAGGCCATGGTTAAACATAAAACCTTGACTAGAAATGAAGGTATTTTTGCCATCTTCTTCTTCTATCAGCAGTTAACTTTCTTCTACCAAGAGAAAGAAGTTGTGCCACATCACTGTGCCAGATAATACATCTGGAGTTCTCCAAATTTGAGCAGTGAGAATTTGGTCAATGTCCACCTCACAGAGAAAAGGCAGATCTGTCTCAGCACAATCCATTACCTCCCCAGCACCAGGGGCTGTTTGGGAGCCAGGGGTGCACAGGAGTGAGCATGCAGGGCAGGACATGCTGTGTGACACAGAGGGGACAGGGCCTGGGGGGCTTTACCATTCACAGCGTCTGATGTGCTACCGAAGGGGTCAGCGAGAGGCAGCAGCTCAGGGAGCAGGAGTGCAGGCTCGGGAGATTTGAGTCCCTCAATCAGTTTTTCTGGGGTAAGCAGGAAAAGGAGCAAGGGAGGCAACAGAGAGAAAAAGCAAAAACAAGAAAAGACAACATTAATCAAGTGCTCAGTTCATGGCTCGTTGTGCCACGTGTGAGCTCCAGAGGAGCATCTGCACCACAGGCTGTGCAAATGGCTYCAGCACAGACCCCCAGGCTGGCCTGAGCTGCAAAGGACCTTTTAAAGCTCATCCACYCCTTGCCATGGGCAGGGACACCTTCCACTGTCCCATCCAACCTGGCCTTGGACATTTCCAGGTATCCAGGGGCAGCCACAGCTTCTCTGGRTACCCTGTGCCAGGGCCTCACCAGCCTCATAGTAAAAAAAAAAATCTCTCTTGAATCTAAAATCCACCCTCCCTCAGTTCAACACCATCATCCCCTGTCCTATCACAAAAGTTTGTACCCCAGTATCACGTGGAGGCATTAGAGGGCCCTGGCCATCTTGAGAAAGGTGAGAACATCCTCACCCCCTGTGGGCTTCTCTCCCCAAGGAGCCACTGTAGAACACTCCACAGCTCTGGCACTGCCACCCATAAGTTTAACACGACTTSCTGAACCCCAGATTTAAACAATGAMCCTCCCTCCTGTTCCTTTGTTAGTGTTTGCAGAACAAGGAGACAGAGGAGCTCAGAGCCTTGGGTGCAGCTCTGCCTGTGGAGCTGAAGCAGAAGCAGAGACCCTGCAGCCCCAGAGCCTGTGCTGGGCTCACACTGCTGCCCAGGTACCAAGCACTTATTTCACCCCCAGGTTTCAAATCACACATGGCACTCTCAGCAGCACAACTCCTGAGGTTCCCATTATCCTTCACAGAGACATTCAGAGAGCCTRGCCAAGAAGTTAATCTTAATTATTCATCTGGTGGATGAGTGATTTCCCAATCACTGATCAGGTCTGAAGTAATGAGATTAATTATTTAGCTTTCACAAGGGTTGCTTCACAAGAAGATGAACAATTTCAAGATTTACTGTAAGTAATCACCAGCAGCAGAACAGCTCTGATAAAATTTGCTCCACATGGACAAATCTGGCCATTTCACCTCGTGAAATTAATCCATTTATAATCTAACATTTAAATGTTATAAAACTGTTACATCTATATTTTAATTTTTGAGTTCAAAGATTGGTATTATTATTTATTACCCAAAGAACCCCTGCTCACAACTACACAAAAGCACAGGCATCCTGCTGTAGAAAAGACTTGCCATGCTGAGAACACCAAAGAAAAGCTTGTTAGGCTGCTACATATGTATAATAATATCCATGCCTTTTTATTGCTCCATATAAATAATAAATTAGTCCAGTGGCTTTGGAACTGCTTATTCAGAGCAGGACAAATTCTACTCCCCACAACAAAGCCAACAACACATTAAGCAGCCAGAAGGAGAAGGAAACCTAAAAATCAGCCCAACAGGCACCTGTTATATCATTACAAGCCTGTAAAAGGTCAACTAAAAGGAAAAATGTCATGGAAACAGCAGCCTTAATATCCATGAACCCTTCCCACCTGTAAGAACCCTCCATTTTCAAGGCTGGATTGGAATCCAGGTGCCATCCCYGGATCCTGTGGCACAGAGGGGAAGGGCTGGAGCCGAGCTCTGGCACAGAGAGGTGGAATGCTCCCAGAGGGGGCTGGGGAAGGTGGCAGTGGGCTCTGGGGTGTTGGGAAGCAGCACAGGAGAGCTGTGGGACCAAGGGCACAGGGAACCTGCTCTGTTCAARGCAGGCTCTTCCCATCAGTGCCCACCCACACCCTCCCAAGGCACTGCACCCACCCAGCCAGCAACAATTCCTGTGAGGATCCCACTTCCATTCGTCCCACTCCTTCTCCCTTACCTTCCCAACAGTTTCCTCCTGCTCCATTAATGCAGATTTTCCATGTAACACCGTGGAACTGCCCTGCACAGCTCCTAGAGCACCTATTGAGCTCAGCCACGTTTTTAACCACACAGATTCTGAGCACAAACATGGTATTCTCATATTCATCTTCCCTCCTCYTTGAGGGCCCAGCTGGTTTCACACACAGCTTTAGGCTGTCAGTGGTTCTTTGTCTGATTTTATTTCTTGTCACAAGAGCTGCTCTGCTGCCTCCTTCACCACTGGTGCAGATCTGTCAAAGCTGCTTTGGGCAGCCACTGCATCCCTCAGTGCATGATTTAAAGGACYTTTTATCCCTTTCCAGTGAGGCTGAGAAGTTCAACAAAACCAAGAAGGTATCAGGACAAATGGGGAAGAAGAAAAAATAACAAAAATCAGGTGCATCAGCCTATTTTGAGGCCTAGCAATTCATTGCCTGGCTTCTGGTTAGTGCTGCATCTTGCACTAACCTGGAGGAGTAAGAGAGAAGGCAAAAGAACAATTACATTAAGTGCTGGGAAATTCACCTTCAACAGGGAGCAAAAGTCAGGTTAAAAATGGCAAGGAAAATTCACAGTTCTGTGTTAGTTAGCAGCAATTCCTTTTCCACAGGAGGGAGGTTTGATCTCATGCTTATCAGAAAACACTAAAGAAAGTTTTTCTGAATCCATGTGAGATGCCCAAGCCCAAGAACACCTCAGGCCTTGACAGTGCCACACAAACCCAGCTCCAGCCTCTGCTTGGCCACAGCTCCAAAGGCTGGAGCAGCAGCTCCAGGAGGAGATCTCCTCCTCATTCCCTGTGCACCAACATGTGGCAGCTGCACTTAAACCACAGCCAGACCTGGGAAGGAAAATCATCCTCTTTTGACACTGAGCTGCAGCATTGGTCCTACTGCCAAGAGAACTCTCTACAGGAGCTCAGAAACCAAGAGAAAAGCTGCTTCACCTGCCAGTGGAGTCCTGGCTGAGATGGGAAGCCAGCAGTGGGGAGTGGTTTGAATGAGGAAAAAGGGATAACACTGGGATCATCAATCTGGTTCCTCTAACCTGCACAAGGACACCAAATGCCATCAGCTGCAGAGCAGAGCCCACCAGTGAAGCCCCCAGGACGTGGTCAGACCTGCAGCTGCAGTGAGATGGAGGCAAAGCCTGGGGGGCTGCAGGGAACATCATCCCCATGTGCCACCCCTCACACAGATCTTCTGCTGAGAAAACTCAGAGAGAGGTTTTGCCACCCCAGCTCCAGTGTCTGGGGACTCTCTGGGCACACAGACACAACCACAGGCTGGTTTCAGGAGAGGTCATGATGGCAAAGATCAGTTTTGCAGCAAACAGCAGTGAAACAAGAAATAATAGAAACTCCTACAAAGCTGCAGTTTCAGGGTCCATTCCAACTGATTTCGTGCATGTCTAAAGCTCAGAGTGGAGTGTGMCAGGACAACACATCTGCATCAACCACCATCAGTCCAGTTCAGGGGTTCATGGCATAAGTGTTTCTACCTCAAATCCAACAGACAACTCCAGCAGATCTCATTCCTATGCAGACACATGAATWAGCACCAGGATAAAAAAGGTTAAGAAAAGGTAACCTATTACAGAAGTATTTGACCTCATACAGGTTGTGAAGGGCTCTCAGGGTGGGCTTTCCTCAATTCCAGATAAGAAATGTGTGTTTTAATCTATCACTGTGCTCCCACTTGAAGCTGCCTCTTGGAGACGTCCTTTTCCTTAGTCAGCCTATGGAAAACCTGCCAAATGCTTTCCAGCCACAGGGAAGTAAGTCTGACCCAGCTAAGGATGAGCTGACCACTAGTATTTGATTTTCTGTTGTGTTTTCTGCTTTGCCCTATTTCAGGCCTGCCAGGGCAGGTTTGCTGGGGCTGTGCTGCAGYCAGGGAGGACCATGGCAAGTTTTTAGAAGTTGCCTAAGCTTCAAAGCACAAAGRGGGATTAAAAAGTGCCCCTTTGGCCCCTTCATGAAGTAAACCCCAGCTACACACTGCAGCCTTTAAAGAATAATGTGAAACATTTGTCAAGTTTCCTGCTTCTCACAGTATGAAATCACTAATTGTTTTGTGTCAGAGTAAGCAAAACAGCTGCAGAAAAAAACAGAGCAAGAGCCTACAGCTGATGAGTCTTGGAGCATCCCCAAAAGGCTGATGCTGGTGGCTTCAGAGGCTGGAAAAACCAAATCAATTCCTCCAGGAATGAAAGCAAGAGCCTTTCCTCTGATTTGCACCAACATAAGAAGGAAGCCATTGAATTAACACTGGATTCATATCTTGGGACAAGCAAACAAGTTCAAAGCCCATGCACTGGCTGAGAAGCACAGCTKTGGACAATCCAATGAGAAAGTGTTGACCTTTGTCTTCAGATCCCTTTTCTAAGACATGCACAAACCTGGGGGAGTTTTACAGTCAGTCARTTCGCACAGATTTGCATCTGCAGCCACCACTGCCAAAGACCCTCTGCTGCCATGCTGCTTATATTCTTGGCCACACACCCCTCCAGCCACAAAGAATACGCAGAAACACCAGTTAGGAAAAAATAGAAATCAAGAGATGAGGGAGGCAAACGGGCTTTGGGTTAGAGCAGGCTATTAGAAAGAACAAGGACTCCTGAGAAAGTTAACCAGGGATCAGAGGGCAGAACTCTGTGCCCAGTGAAGAACACACTGAAAGGGATGCAGCATGTCCAAGGCAGGAGGGGCAGCAGCACCGCACACACACGGCTGGTACTCACTGCAGGGCAGCACAGAGCAGCTCAAGAGAGCACACAGCAGAGTCCTTTCCTTCGGCTGCCAACTGGGAAAAAGAGACAAGGCTGTGAAAATCCTGCCAGCTCAGCCGAGCTGCAGGTGGGAGGGGAATCACCAGCGTGGGCAGAGATTTGTCACTGGGAAGGTCTCTGCCTATTGACTGGTCAGGTATTAAAGGAGGCMCTGCATGGTGTTCAGCAAGAGGACTTGGACTAGTCCAGGGAAGGCACTGGACTTTCATTTTCCTTATGGAGTTGCCGTGAAATGGGACTGTTCTTACACAGCACAAGCAGAAAGGGAAGGGGAATAAAGGCAAAAGGAATGCTTTGAATGCACAGGACTTTGTAAACACCATGGAGGATAACAGGACAA